TTAAATCTTTATTAATGATAATTTAATCAAGCCAAATAACAATGTGAGTTTATCAAAAAAGAAAATTGTTACAATTCTGATATAATTAATATATGGTATATATGGATTATCTATAGGTTTTTGGATATGGATCCAAATATATCTGGATCTGAATCTTTAAGACCGAATCTAACAAAAAATCTATATTAGTATTCAAGCCCGGCCCATGTTGGGCCAGCCTATGAACAATCCATGGATAGTCCATCCCATGCGAAACCCTAGTAAATGCATATCTCTCTAAATGCATATTTTTAAAAATTTTGTCTATGTTCTCAAGAGAGTACACTTAGAGAGAGTTGATTATATAGTAATAATATCTTAAATATTTTGGAGTATAAAATTTTTATTTACAAATATACTGTATTTAGATTATATGTATATATTTTTATTAATTTTATCAAGAAATTCTTATACTATAAAAATATTTGCAGACAGTTTTATTCTGAAATCCCAAAAGACAAATTTCTAAAAAAAATAATACTAACAAAGTTAGCTAGTATTAGTTATAATGCTAGCTAATTTAGTTAGTATTATATTCTTTCAGAAAAATAGCTTTCAGGATTTCAGGATATTCAGATACTAGAGAATTACAAAAACCAGTGTCATATCCAAACTTAATTTAATCTCTTCAAGTAGTTTAAAGAATGAATTCAATATAGTATAAAAACTATATTTATAGTGATATGGAAAGTAAATGGTAAAGTCTTTTACTATGACTTTTTAAAGAGGATTTATAAAGCTTTATTCAAAAGAGACACTAACACAGTTGTATATGGGAACCCCCATAGCAAAACAAACCAGTGGGCAAAAAAAATTTTTTTTTTAAAAACTCAATTTCTCGAAGAATTGAAGTATTAGAAATACAATTTTTATAAAATTACAAAACCAAAATTTTTTGCCCACTGGTCTGTTTTGCTGTGGGGGTTCCTATATGAAGATACAATAGATTAGTATAAAGTTAACAATAAATATTCAAGATCATATAATTACGTGATAATATTTAAATAGAGTCAGAAAATATACTAAATTAAAGCAAATTAGAAAATCTGGTTCTAAAATAATCTGCACAGATTTGATTGGCTTTTGTATGACTTCTTGTTAGCAGTTTTAGAAAATTTTTTATATATTTTATTTATTGCTTAAAACTCCTAAATAAAAGCATTAGTAAATAGTAAAAAACATATAGTTTAAATAATCTACAATAATCTACTCTAGTTAACTCTTGTTAAAAAAGTAAATAAACCATTAAAAAAGTAAATAAGATTTGAAATATTCTAGTTTGTATAATAACAAAATTTTTTTCTATTTAGTTGATTTAATTGGTTAGTGATTATTCTTGGATTGATATAAAAAAATTTCTAGAATCATTAGATTAGCATTCTATTACTATAAATAGTGTGATCAATACTATATATTTATAGTATATTCTCTAACTAAAATAGATTTTTATTGTAAAGAAAATGAAATTTAATGTATATAAAGATATGGCTACTTTATCTAACCGATAAAATAACTAAACAATATAAAAGAAATAAGAAATTCTATATTACATTATACACTCTCAATTTAATAAACATAGTGAATAGCTTTTGTATTAGTTTTGAGAGGTTATTGGATTTAAAAATTAATTTAAAATACCAATAGCCTGCTGTCATATGATCACAAATAAATATAATTGGCTAGATTACATTTCTTATACAGTATATCTAATAAGCATAGTGGACAGCTTTTGTATCAGTTTTGAGAAATTATCAGCTTTAAAAATTGATTTAAAATACCAATGACCTGCTGTTACATGATCACAAATAAATATAATTGGCTAGATTATATTTCTTATATATAAGGTGGATATGCCTAATTTGGCGCGGTGCCTAATTCGGCGCACTAACGATATCTTACGAACCGTCAATTAGAATCATGTAATTTTGGTACCATTCGATTCATCTCATCATGACGAATCGAATGGTACTAAAATTATATGATTCTGATCAATAGTTCGCAAGATACTATCATTTAACCAAAATAGCCTACATATAAGATAGATATGCTTAATTGGTATAGTGCCTAATTCAGCACACTAACGATATTTTACGAACTGTTGATCAGAATCGTGTGATTTTGGTACCATTTGATTTGTCTCATCGAAACAAATCAAATGTTACCAAAATCATACGATTTAAACTAATAGTTCACAAAATATTACATTAGAAATCTTTAATGCGCCGAATTAGGCACCGTGCTAAAATAAGACTGTGTTTTTAGATAAACTTTTAAAAAGTGATATCTTGTGATTGAATGATCGAAATTAGGTGATTTTGGCGCCATTCGATTCGTTTCGATGTGACAAATCGAATGGTACCAAAATCATCCAATTCTGATCGACATGGCACGTGATATGCATCGTAGAACTTAACCGCGCCGAATTAGGTATATCTAATAAAAAATGAAACAAAAAGCCAACTTAATTGCAATTTGTATTTTGATTAATTATAATAAATGACCATTGTCAATCACACCGAAAACACTTTATTTGCAGTAAAAGTTTTTAGCATAAACAATAAGACAATAATCCATTGACTCTGGTACGATTTTGAAAATTCAAAAATTAAACACTTGAACAATTATTTTTTCTAGTCAATAAAATTTTTTAATCATTTGTTCATTGGAATGATAAACATTCTTGATCAGTTAAACGATCCTCCACTAATTAAATTTTATCTTTGACGTAACGAAGCAATGAAATTTTAATTATGCTAAAAAATTTTACAATCGTTATGGATAATTATTTTTGCATATATTCTAGAAACTAGTATCATTGTTGAATGTATATGTCGTGCGTACAATCATTAATATATTTGATGTGGCAACAGATTCGAACTCATCATCAGACTAGTATCAAACTGATTATAAATTTTATAATTAAAAGTTTTAGTGAACTTTTATTAACTAAGTATAATTATAGCTGATAAATTAATTATTTGAATTTTTTTATTGTACGTTTGTACCTTTCAAATAGTCACCAAATGTCTCGAGACAGAATACAAACGTGTATTCAGAAAATTTATAAATATTATATTAGAAACATAAAGATGTATTTGTAGTAAATTTTCACAACTTTATTATCAAACATGCATATCTATACAAAAAAAAATGAACATTTTCTATTACACAACATGCTAATGAAAACAGTCTAATATTCTAGTTTGTTCAATATACAAAATTGTATCTAAATTGTATCTAAAAAAATTGAAATAATCTTGAAACCCCAAATGTAATCAATTATCTTGAAAAGCGTTCGCTGCGTTTTCATGTTTCGAATCACATAATGCACGTCCAAGTTGAAGACCAAGTGAAAAAGCAACATTACGTGGAACAGAATTACCTAAAAAAAAAAAAAAGAAATAAGAATAAATATATAATTTTTGAATTTTTTGAATGAATAATTGTGGTTTAGAAATTTACCAATAACTTTGTATTGATCCCCGATTGTACCACACAAAATATCAGAGTCCAAGAAACCTACAAAAATATATATATATATTAATCAAAAGCAAAAATAATATATACATATACTAGAGATTGTACCCGGGTAGAGTTTTTCTTGACGGGTACAATCTCTAACATATACTATATGTTACTAAAAAATTTACCTTGTGCCCGAGCCGCTTCACGAACACTGACCATTCGTGGTTCCTTATAATGAACGGCTTCCGGATAATATCCACTAGGGCCTAGTTAAGTTTAACAATAATATTTATATAAGTATATATAAAATCAATGATATATAACATAAAATTTTACTTACGCATTACTGTACATATTGTTGGAAATAAACCACTCGGATCAATTCGTTGACAATATTTATAGCGATGTGCTACTTTAGGAAACTTTATAAGTTTAGCATCATAACTTGGTACAGCATGTATATCAGGTATAAATTTATGTTTTCGAGCATAATAATAATCTCTTGCTGGAGGGAATGTTGGTATTCTTCGAAGAATTTCTTTGGTCCTCAAACTCATTTGATAAGTTTTGTGATCTGGAAATGAAGGATACCAGATATCACCTTCTCCAATTGGTGGAAGGTCACTTATATGATCCTTTATTGAGACCATGGGAAAACTTGCATATGTCTCATATGTCTCATTTTTTAAACCTTTGTGAGTAACTGGTGGCATTGTTGGTAGAACCTCTCCTTGAGCTTTTAATATCAGAAAAAATTTTTTAAAATACAATTCAGACATTTCTCAAATTTTAAATACATCTCAAGATATTATTTCTCGAGTATCTTAAAAGATGGCTTACCAGCTCCCCATAAGAACATTCTAAACCGTTTTTGGGCGCATCCCATTCTATCAGCCGATACTACACCAAAACGGATTTGATATCCAATATCAAGAAGACATCCGATTAATCGATAAAAAACTAATCATAATATAAAAATATTAGATATTAGGTATATAGAAAAATTTCAATTTATTATACATATTTCGAATTTTACCTTCCGAAGATGTAATCTTTCGAACATTTTCCAATAATAAGTATCGTGGATGATAGTAATCCACAAAAGAAACAACAGAAGCGACAAGAGAATTATTTCTTTTTGATTTGAGATTATGTCGATTCCTATTCATATAAGAATACCCTTGACAGGGGGAACCTGCGAGTATTATCTCAACATCTCCCTATTTAATAAATAAAAATATATAAAATAAAATAAAAAAACAAAAAAAATAAATAAATAAATAAATACTTTAGATGGAACCCGAGCTTCTGGATTCCCCAAAATCGCATCAGAGAGTATATTATTTACACTCTGATTCAATATATCAATATCATCGTGCTGAAGATTATGTCGATAAGTTTTTATAGCAGCCTCATATTTATCAATAGCCCTATATGTTATTTGAAGAATGGTAAGTCCTTTATTGCACTTAATTAACTAAATTAACTAAATATTATTATAAATAAATAAAACTTGCCATTGACAGTGTGTAAAGCCTGCATCTTCAAATCCTCGACCTAATGAACCACCACCACAAAATAGGTCAAGACATTTCAACTTATAAGTGTTTCCCACTTTGAAGGAATATTTTGGAAAGTTTGTAGAAAGTTGTTGCGATTCTGATCTAATAGGATGAATTGTTCTAGTTATTCGGTCATATTTCCTTGAAAAGTAAAACTAATCGAATAATATGATAATAATATGAAATTAGAAATAATATTTATAGGAAAAATTTGTTAAAAAATAAACAAACATACATGATTTCCAGCACCACGATGTTGAAGGTTAACAGGTATTTTTTTGCCAAATTTAACAAATTCGACATGACAAGGACTAATCACATGTTCAAATTTATTAAATTCAAAAATATATTCAGAATATAAAATTTCGTTTATCGGTGCCTTAGGTCGTTTTACAGATGTTTCACTCCATCTATAAAATCGTCTTAACCAAACAGATTTTCTTTCTAAATCGAACCGTTCAATACTACAAACTGTGTATAAATCCAAGATATCTCCTTTAAGTGGCGTTATTAGAATACAATCATTAACATTATACTTTTCAGTAAATTCTTCATAATAATTAGGTTCAGGTCGTTTACAACCGCATATCAAACCATCCTCTTTAGGAAGTATTCCAGGATGGAAAGATAAGAATGAATTTTCAGTTTCATAACCGTATTGATAACGACAGAAAAAGGAATAATCAAGATCTAATAAAAAGTCATTAATGAGTTTAAAAAAAGAAAAAGGAATGTAAATATTATAAATTAAAAAAATTTTTAAAAAATGAAATACTTGAACAACCTGGACAACTCGATTTTCCAAAGTGCACATCAATCTTGCGAATTATATTTTCAATAGGCCACGGCTCCTGGCACTCACAATTAGATGTGAAAAATAATTCTCTTGATTTATTAACGCTGACATCCTTATCAAGTTTTCTGAGTATAGTTTGGTAGCGTGTGTATAACCACAGTAATCGAAATGATCCACGTTTACCACTTTTTATGAACGTAGTTATTATACTATAGTAAAGTTGTTGTTTTTTTTAGTTATAAATTAAATAACCAGGTTAAATGTATACAATGGATTACATACCAAAACCAACGACCATCAGTGGATCCATCGGTAGGTACAACCTCAACAGTATCTCCTACTTTAAGAGTCATACCATCTATTGTAACTTGTTTAAAACAATGCGGTTCCTCAAGCGGAATCTCAAATAATAATTGACCCCTGTAATTAATCTCTCTGAATTCATCATCATCCTGAATATATACCATCGGGATACATTCACTTTCGCTAATTGGCACTTGAAAAAAAGTCAATTCGGATTACATGAAGGCAGTACGGGCACGTGACAAAGAATATTTGCAAATACCTAAAGGCTGTAGTAATTCCGGAAATAATTCATGAAACCAATTATATACTTTTGGTGTAACAACTGTCTTTTCGATTCTGTTTTGCTATAAAGCATTTGATTAAAAGTGATAAGAGATAAGTAGAGATAAGTAGAGGTGAGTAGAACTATACAACAGCAACTTACACCCTCAATACAAGAATACTTTGCGGGGCAATATTCATCTGGTTACATTAATGTAATAATTTTGTTATTATGATATGTTAATAATAATAATAATAATAATAATAATATCTCATTTTTTATCAAATAAATTTATATTACCTGTAAAGAATGGTAAACGCGAATAATCTTCACCAAGATTGTATGCTTCATGCCAAATTAAGTGCATATTATTTGCAACAACAGATCTGAAATCGGTATTACCGTTGACTTCACTAAGCCATTTTTGAAAAATACTATCATCTTTTCTATGTTGAGATATCCAGTCAAAAAATCCGAATTTAAAATCCTCGAAAAGGACATCCGGATTATTATTTAAATAATCAAGTACATATTTCACTAAATGCGCTTTCCATAAAAACGCAATCCAAAGATCATGATACATAGATTGTGGAGTTCGAAGCATGTACCACACTTTATCATTAAGATTTGATTGGATCATGACTTCTAAATTTGATTCTTCCAAACCGAAGCCACTAATTGAAAATGTTTTAAAAATTGTCTATGCAAGAAAAAAGAAAAATCAATATTAATTTTATTAATTTTTTTAATCATAAGAAAATGAATATTAGATGTTGACATATATATATATACCCTTTTACATGGCATATTCTTATCACCTTCAACAATATTACCATCCCAAAGTATAACTCTTTCGGTACTTCTTTCCGGAAAAAAATCCACAATCTTTTAAAAAATGATTAATTTAGATATCACAATTTTTGTGACAGAAATCACACAATTATACGATTTACAAACCTCACAATCCAAACTGTCATAAAAAATAAAATCATCAAGATAAAATTTTTCATAATCATTGTCGGACATTGAATCATTAAAATCAGCAGACTAAAAAAAAATTTTTAAATAAGCTAATGAATAAAAAAAAACAACCTATAAATATATATATAATAATATATGTATATATTACCATTAAAGCATCTAAACACTCTTGTTCAGTATAAACAATTTCATTTTCTAATATTTCTTTGTTATACAATCCACAAACTTTTTTTCGCGGAGGAATATCAACATAAACTTCATTTACCTACATTTAATCAAGAAATTTAATATTAAATAAAAGAATGGATAAAAATTATGAAAAATACTTACCGAAGAACGTTTCTTTGATTTAATAAGAACTGTAAGAGTATTAAGAGTTTTCTCAAGTTTTGGATCATAATCCTCCATTATAGGTTTGTCACTTGACATGCTATCGCTTGAAAATTCCTATAAACAAAGAACAAATTTAATGATTATATGATCAATAACTGACAATAACTGCCTGAAAGGATAAGATTATAATTATGCTATAAATAATTAATACTAACATCACATTCTCCCCTCTCCAAAAAAGCTCTCTCATTTCTGTCTTGTTTCATATTTTAATACAATCAAATTTTATTTTTTACGCGTTCAAAATTTTTTGAACCATTAAAAAAGAATTAACATTTAAATTTAAACTTTTTTAGAGTTAAACTGTAGGTGATATCATTATAATTTTATGATCTGTGTCACTGTTTAACTTTTTTTTTTTAGGAATATTTACATCATTGCTTTCATTTCATTGCTTAAGATCGATCGACGCGTTGCATTCTCGCGTTTACGCATAGCAAATAATCTTGTGCATGCTCGTCACGTGATTTTAAAGACAAAGTCAGAAGTTGCAAGTTAAAATATCAATTCCTTACAATTTTTATGCCACCCTTTTCTTAAAACGTTTTTTTTTATCATAACACGAAAATTTAAATGCGACCCTAGGGTGAAACATGAGTAAGATGTAAGCCAATAAAATCGCTTAAAAATTTTATCGGTTTTATTAATTTAGACAAATTCTCATATATAAGGCCATGCAAAATTAATTAAATGGTTTTCATAACCCGGCCGGGTCAAAATTTGAAAATTTCAAAAAAAA